GCATCTTGACAACTTTTTGCAGGGAAAATAAGTACATAACCAGCAGGATGCAGAAAATGCTTTTCAAGAGTTCATCCAACCCTGAAAGCACAGAATAAACAAGTTTATTTCTCATTGGCAAAAAATGTATTCGTTGTAATGGTTTCTTTTCCTTTTCTTTTTTTCTTTTTTTTTTTTTTTTTTTTTTTTTACAGAGTCTCACTCTTTCACCCAGGCCGAGTGTAAAGGTGCAATCTCGGCTCAAAGCAACCTCTGCTTCCTGGGTTCAAGAGATTCTCCTGCCTCAGCCTCTTGAGTAGCTGGGATTACAGGCACATGCCACCACTCCCGGCTACTTTTTGTCTTTTTAGTAGAGATGGGATTTCACCATGTGGGTCAGGCTGGTCTCAAACTCCTGACCTCCTGATCCGCCTGCCTCAGCCTCCCAAAGTGCTGGGATTACAGGCGTGAGCCACTGTGCCCAACCCATTGTAATGGGTTCTATTTTGATTCATAAAGATGTGTTGCAGCCTAGTTATACAAATTTAAAATTCATGGTCCAAAACCACAATTACTTTTGCACCAACATAATACTTTAAGAATTAAAAGAAGTTTTGTATTAGAGAGCCCATGGATGATAAAATCATAAAGAATATTACAATCTCCATAACCCACAAACTTGGTAACTTAGACCAACTGGATGAATTAAAAGACACAATCTATTAATATTAAAACACAGGAGAAATAGGTAATCTATATATATTGATATCTATTAATAAAATGGAATCAATACCTAATAACCTTACAGAAAACTTATATATTCCATAAATCTGACATTCTGTCATGTTATTCTAACTGGTGGGATTCGGGGATTTCCATTTTGATAAGAACATAGGTGAGTCGCACACACTTACTTTTAGTGCTCATTGGTCAGAAAAGCCATGTCCATTATAGGATACTGCGGAGCGATGCGTTATGGAGAATTTAGTCAAGATAATATGATTTTCAGAGTTAAAGGAAGACAACCTGATTTATGTACAGTAATTCCTCATAATATCACAGGGGATACCATATTTAAACTTTGGGGTATCCTCAGGTATAATTCTTATTTGAGCCACCTGTGAATTTCAGACACGGAGGCTTCCCAACTTTGGTGGCTTTCAATAAATGTGGAAGTTAATTCACAATCTATTTTGTGGAGGCATAAAATTCAATGAGCACTCATTTAACGTTTTATTTTAAATATTATTTTTGTAAACTTGCATTTCCAATTAGTTGAAATTTTAAACCTGCTTCAGTTCTTATCCACTTTTTTTTTCCCCCCTGAGATGGAGTCTTGCCCTGTCACCTAGGCTGGAGTGCAGTGGCATTGTCTCGACTCACTGTAACCTCCGCCTCCCAGGTTCAAGCGATTCTCCTGCCTCAGCCTCTCGAATAGCTGGGATTACAGGTGCCTGTCACCACGCCCGGCTAATTTTTGTATTTTTAGTAGAGATGGGGCTTCCCCATGTTAGTCAGGCTGGTCTTGAACCCCTGACCTTGTGATCTGCCCACCTCGGCCTCCCAAAGTGCTCGGATTACAGGCTTGAGCCACCGCACCCGGCCTCTCCACTCTTTTTAGGTGGAGGGGAGTAAGGGTTTCTTGGAATTAGGAGGAACTCCCATGTACCCAACCCATTTGTGTAAATTTCTTCCTTCAGAGTTCTTCAAATCAGCATCACCATTGTTAAAGGCCTCCCACATGGTAATAATTGTGCTACAGGGTTTTACGAACATGAAGTTTATGTTTGGCTGAATGAACCTCCTTGCTGTGGCACAAGGGGGCCATAGGTGTTTTCACCAATTATGAAGCGGGTTCACTGTGCAATGGCTACCAACTTTTCTGAGTACAATGAGGCCAAATACATTCATACATAAATTCCATGAAGTGAATTTATTACTTACAAATAGCAAACAAAAGACAACAGAAGCCTAGGATTCAATATGAACCACTACCACAAGATCAGGAAGGCTACCCAGAGCAGATGGATGGAGTTTTGACTATAAATGCTTCACTTGCACTACAACTAAGGGACCCCAGAAAGCCCACATTGAGTTTTCTCCCAGGATGTGGTTTGCTGGACACAAGGGTTAAAGGCCACTCTGTTTCGAGCAGGGACTCTAACAGAGCCTGCGCTGTTGTGACCAATGTCACCTGATTATCAGGATGTGCCTTCCCAGCATATCGCCACAGTTATCTTGAGAATTACAGTAAGAAAAGGAGGAAAATGGCCCTGCACCCTTAAACTGAAGGATCAGGATATTCCATGCTGACAGAGGCACAGACGAGTAGCGACAGAGTGTTCTTGTGAGCCACCTACTAGTTCTCTTAACCAGGCGACAACAGACACTTTCTATTTCTTTCCATGAAACTATTTCAGAATATTTTGAATTTCTACATCTACAGAGTTGTGGCACATGATCACTGTGATGTAGACTCTCTGCATAAGTTAAAGGAAAGAGTTCAAGCCCATCAACCCACATTGGAGGAGACCACCTAATCCTCCAGAGTGCCACTCCACCTTCCTGGGGTTAGCTCACATGCAGTAAAGACCACATGTGGCTAGGCCATCAAGATTTGCGGTCAGTTAGGCTTTGACATGCTGATAAGCAGCAGTGATAAGAAAAGCCCACACACTGGCTAGGAATTTTTCAATGCAAGCAGCTGAGACGCTTCTTCATATGCTTGATGAGGGCTAATATCAAACTCTTTCTTCCCCATTTTCTTTACTCATCAGTGCCTGAACCATGAGGCACCATAGATGTACACCTCATCAGGAGGGTGTATGTTGGCAACGAGGAAGCAGCAGCACAAGAAGTAAACAAGGCCACTACTTCTGCTTACATAACTATTGTCTTGGAGTGTAAAATAATTATGAATGTTCACATGGCTGCCCTCAGCGAGAGATGGTGACCAGAGCAGATCACGGGGACTACAGAATACAGCTTGATTCTTGCTAATTAGGACTTAAGTGTTGGCTTATGTGCCTTGCTTTGTGCATTCATAAGCCAAGGCCTCAAAACTGCCTGCTCAGCACAGGCCAAATGTCATGCTGGGGTGCAATTAAACATTGATGTCTAGGAGATGAGAGCATTTTAGTGTGGGAGAAGATGACAACACCTGAAGACCACAAAACACTGTGCAGACCAAAGGGAAGCCCCATCGTCAGCTCACGGTTCTGACCCAGGTGACTGCTGATGTGTTAGACAGTCAGCCCACAGCAGGTAGGTCAAGTTGAACAGGTGTCCTGCGTGAGGGCTGGTCCATTCCATTCGTGTTGCCAATTGTTTCAATAGCGTCTCATGCACCCCACTGGGGGAAGGAATTAGCACCTACGTTTACTGGCACCGTTAGGAGCAGAGAATGGTATAGCATTAAAAAGTGAGATCTTCTACTTTTTTCCTTTCTTTATTTTTTTTTTTTTTTTTTTTTTGACACAGAATCTCGCTCTGTCACCCTTGCTGGAGTGCAGTGGTGTGATCTCGGCTCACTGCAAGCTCCGTCTCCCGGGTAAACTGTATGTACTTAGGAATTAATACCAACTCATTATTAGAAAAAATAAATATATTTACATCAGAGTCAACTCATTATTAGAAAAAATAAATATATTTACATCAAGAGTAGTTTGTCCTTTAATAAAAATAGGCGGAATGTGTTTAATGGACAAGGGATAATCAAAATTTGCCAAATGAGGCTAGTAAGACAATCCCAAGAATTCACAATCATTATTCACTGGTCCATTAATCACAGGACAATACAAACAAATGAAACTTACCTGGCCGGGCGCGGTGGCTCGTGCCTGTAATCCCAGCACTTTGCCCGAGGCGGGCAAATCATGAGGTCAGGAGTTCAAGATCAGCCTAGCCAACATGGTGAAACCCTGCCTCTACTAAAAATACAAAGAATTAGCTGGATGTAGTGGCGGGCGCCTGTAGTCCCAGCTACTCGGGAGGCTGAGGCAGGAGAATTGCTTAAACCCTGGGGGCGGAGGTTGCGGTGAGCCGAGATCGCACCACTGCACTCTAGCCTGGGCAACAGAGTGAGACTCCATCTCAAAAAGAAATAATAATGAAATAAAAAAATTAAACTTACCTACATATTAGAAAAACATCCAAATTCAACCATGAATCCAGCACATTATCAAATGAATAGACAAAAATTCTACCAACAAACTGAAGAAAATATCATTATCTATGAAATTCAAGTACTACTGCTTAAAGAGTACTTACAGAACCCTCACCTCAAGGTTTCCCTGCAAAACAAGGTGAAATGCATACTCAAGACTCTTTAAGAATGAGCCACTGATAAAAATATACTAGTAACTTGTGTAACACTTCATACATTTTTTTCAAACACTACACGATAATTAATTTGCATCAGGCTTTCCAAATTAGAAAAGCTTCACTTACAGAACTTCTTTCCAGTGGGAGTTTTCACATGACTTTTCAAGTAAATGTTAAAACTGAAAATATTCTTGCAGTTTCTAAACTGTTAGAGTTTGAATCCTGTGTACGTTCTTGTATTTACAAGGTCCAGCCAGCGACAGTGTGCATTTTCATATGTCCTTGAGTGGGTATGAGAGAAATGAAACACTCAAAGATTCTGGACATTCATAGGGTTTTTCTCAGGAATGAGCTGATTTCTTCAAATGGAACTAACACAACTGAAGGCCTTACCACAAATTTAAATTCAAAAGGCTTTTCTCCACTCTGAGCCCTCCAAATCTTCACAAACAGGAAAATCTGAAGGCTTGACCACACTTCCTACATTCTTAAGGTTTCTCTGCAGTGTGAGCTCTTTCATGTTTATGAGGGAATGGGAAACAGTAAATGTTTTATCACATTTCTTACATTCAAGAGACTTTATTTATTTATTTTTGAGATGGAGTCTCACTCTGTCGCCAGGCTGGAGTGCAGTGGCACCATCTTGGCTCCCTGCAACCTCCGCCTCCTGGGTTCAAGTGATTCTCCTGCCTCAGCCTCCTGAGTAGCTGGGATTACAACCATATGCTACCACACCCAGCTAATTTTTGGATTTTTAGTAGAGACGAGGTTTCACCATGTTGCCCAGGATGGTCTCGATCTCCAGACCTTGTGATCCGCATGCACAGGACTTCCCCCCAACCCCCCGTGGCTTTTTATGTCCTTGAAAAAGAACTAAGACAACTGAAATGTGCCACCATGCCCAGCTAATTATTTTCTTTGTTTTTGTTTTGAGACGGAGTCTGCCTCTGTCGTCCAAGGTGGAGCGCAGTGGTGCGATCTCGGCTCACTGCAAGCTCCGCCTCCCGGGTTCACGTCATTCTCCTGCCTCAGCCTCCCGAGTAGCTGGCGTGAGCCACCGCGCCTGGCATTATTTTATTTTTTGTAGAGACAGGGTTTCACCATGATGCCCAGGTTGTTTCACATTGTTTTAATCCGGGCTGGTTATGAACTCCTGGGCTCAAGCAATACACACACCTTGGCCTCCCAAAGTGCTGGGATTATAGGCTGAGTCACTACACCCAACCTCTATATCATGACTTCTTTCATGGTGAATAAGGTGACTGGAATGAGTGTAGGCTTTACCGCATCTCTTACATTCATAGGGTTTTTCTCCAGTATGAATTCTTTCGTGGAGGTGAAAGGAACTGAGGTGATTGAAGGCTTGGTCACATTGTTTACATTTATAGGGTTTCTCTCCAGTATGAATTCTTTCGTGGAGGTGAAGGGAACTGAGGTGACTGAAGGCTTGGTCACACTGTTTACATTTATAGGGTTTCTCTCCAGTATGAATTCTTTCGTGGAGGTGAAGGGAACTGAGGTGACTGAAGGCTTGGTCACATTGTTTACCTTTATAGGGTTTCTCTCCAGTATGAGTATTTCTATGGTTACAAAGGGAACTCAAATGACTAAAGGCTTTGCCACATTGTTTACATTCATAGGGTCTCTCTCCAGTATGAATGCTTCCATGGTCATGAAGGGAAGTGGAACAGCTGAAGGCTTTATCACACTTGGTACATCTTTCTCCAGTGTGAGTCCTTTCATGCATCTTAAAAGAACAAGAAAATCTGAGTGTTTTCCCACATTCCTTACATTCATAGAGTTTCTCTCCAGTGTGAGTTCTTTCATGTATTAGACAAGAACCGGAAACAGTGAATGTTTTACCACATTGTTTACATTTATAGGGTTTTTCTCCTGTATGAGTTCTCTGATGTCTTTCAACTGAATTGAGAAAATGAAAAGCTTTCCCACATATCGTACATTTATCAGCTGGATTTCCACTGTGCATTATCATGTGTCTTCTAACACCTGGAACAGAAACAAAGAGTTTCCCACACTGTTCACATTTATATTGCTTCTCTCCATATGGTTTGTATCCTGAGTGAGCTAGGATGTGCCTGTTAAGGAAGGAATGACGTACAAAGACTTTTCCACAAATACTGCGTACACATTGTTTTAATCCAGTAGAAATGTTCTCATTCAGATCAAGATTTGGAATGTGGCTGACAACTTGTCCATACTGACTACCTTCTTTGCTTTCACACAGTCTCTGTACCATATGATTTTGGTTAAAAAAAAAAAAAAAAGACAAGCACATTACTATTGGTTGGTTTAATAACTTTCTACTTATTCATAGGTCTTCGACTTACACTGCTACCAATACCAGGGAAAATTGATTTTTGTGTTTTTTTGTTGTTGTTTTTGTGCCACGACTGAATTACTTGAAAGTAAATGGGCTACTACTGAAAACACAGCTACCACCTGCATGGTTATGACCAAAATGGTAACATTCATGTATGCAATTTTGTAATACTATTTTCAAGTAAACTGTTTTCCAAACACTGACTGCTACACTGAAGTACGTTACATTTTGGGTGAAATTTTTCTAAAAAGAAATGAATTTCAAGTGACTCTTATTTGCTTTGATTGCTTGTTTTTAAATTCATGACATGCTAAGAGTCCTTCAGAGGACTTTATTTCCTCTTCTCAGTGCAAATTATCTTGTATCTTTCCCAGGTTTTTTGAAGTGATCTTCAATATTCTGGTCGTTCCGTTTGTTTCCTAAAATGCAGACCCACAAAATTATGATGAAGTATTTCAAACTATAGAAACATTACTGCATTTCATGCTCATTGTACACAGTGCCCATGCCTGATTTATTCACCAAATCATCCCCTTGCCCCATTCCAAATCACAAATAGCACTGAAGATAGGGAAATACTTCTGTAATTACGTGAAATGTGTTGCCATTCTTACCTACAGAAGCCAGGTTCCTGCAGGTTTCCTGCATCACTTCTCCATAGAGATTCTTCTGAGAAGAATCTAGCAAAGCCCATTCCTGCTGGGTAAAGTTCACAGCCACATCCTCAAAAGCCATGGAGTCCTAGAACATTCCACACATGTGGATAGAAGGATGAGTGAGACTGAGAGCACTGGGAATCTATACTCAATTCATAAGCTGTTTACGTGATTCTAAAATTTCTAAGCATTTATTCTATGACTTGATTGTCACAACTCTTACTCTGTTCACACATTCTCCCTCCCACACAGCAGTACTGATGCTAGAATTGAACTATTCAAAACGGCAACAGCAAAGTAGAAACACCCATCTCATTAGAGAATCCAGGGAGTAAGATGTGCTGCCAGGAGTTACCTTTTAACTTCACTTTGTACATTTCTAGTATCTGTCATACTAAAGTCCTACCTGATGTGCATAAGTGAGTTAATATTATCAGTCCTGAGACTACTTATTCTTAAAAAGGCCTGCCCACAAAGTTCAATCTTTGTTTGTATTAGGAACTTACATTTTGAAAGGGATTCCACCAACCCAGGCAATAAGAATGACTCACTGCATCTAAATGGCTTATGCAATATATTTGCCAAAACTTCTTCTGCTGAAGGCCTATTATTTTGTGTCACTGCAGTGGTGCTTAGGGAACCAGACACAAAAACACAGTCTGAACACTAAGTGTTCAATGAGTTTCCCTGGTAGACAATATTTTACATGTGCTGTCACTTGTTAACAGGGGAGGTGAGCCCATTCCATGTGATTACACCAAGAGAGAATAGGCTTATTAAATTTCATTGAGTAGCAAATAAAACAATAATTGATATTTAACAATACTAATACAACAATTTTTCAAATTTCTATTGCACAATGTCAAGGCAGAAAAGAATAAAAGGAAATACGACACATGTTTTTTAAAATGACATGAATGTCACCACTTCCAGATGCCATTCCTATGAAAACACATAAATTCCCAAATCAGGTGGTTTTAGGCAAGAAAAACTACTCTTTCATACATGGTAAAAATGACAACTCTCTGATGATTTTTAGTCATCTAAAAAAAGAGTGATGGCTTGTCTAACCTACTTCTAAGATTTTCAAACAAAAATATTCAGGACAGCACAGTATTAGCAGAGAGATGAGCAAGTAGACCAAGGGGAAAAAAAGTCTTAATGATCCAGCATTTATACGGAAAGTTGAGGAATGACACAGTAGGCACTGTAGAATAGAAAAAGAAATCACATGCACTTTAAAATATGAGGCAAACCAGGTTGGCATCTACTTGGGAACATGCATTGCATTCTTCTCTATTCCATGAACAATAATCAGCTTATTATATATTCAAATATGAAAGATAAAACCAGAACACTTTCAGAAGTCACAGGACGATTTTTTTTTACGAAGGATTAGTCAGAATTTTTTTTATGTAAGAAAAAAGTGATAAAGGAACAGACAAACTCAAACATATTAAAATTTAGAAAATAAAAAGAAAATAGAGTGGGCCGGGCATGGTGGCTCACACCTGTAATCCCAGCACCTTGAGAGGCTGAGGCGGGTGATCACTTGAGGTCAGGAGGTTGAGACCAGCCTGCCCAACATGGCAAAACCCTGTCTTTTTGTTGTTTGTTTGTTTGTTTTTTGAGATGGAGTCTCACATTGTCCCTTGGGCTGGGGTGCAGTGGTAAGATCTTGGCTCACTGCAACCTTAACCTCCTGGGCTCAAGCAATTTTCTTGCCTCAGCCTCCCTCAGCTGGGATTACAGGTGCCTGCCACCACGCTCAGATAATTTTTTTGTATTTTTAGTAGAGACAGAGTTTCACCATGTGGGCCAGGCTGCTCTGGAACTCCTGACCTCGTGATTCGCCCACCTTGGCCTCCCAAAGGGCTGGGATTACAGGCATGAGCTACCGTGCCAGGCCTAAAACCCTGTGTTTACTAAAAATACGAAAATTAGCTGGGTGTGGTGGTGGGTGCCTATAATCCCAGTTACTTGGGAGGCTGACACAGGAGAATCACTTGAACCCAGAAGGCAGAGGTTGCAGTAAGCAGAGACGGCGCCACTGCACTCCAGCTGGGCTACAGAGCAAGACTGCGTCTCCTAAAAACAAACAACAACAACAAAAAACACTCAGATATCCAGATAAGAGGATACAGACGTGTCCACTGTCATAAATTCTTCACCAAGCTACAAGAGGGGAATTGACATTTTGGTGAATCTTTGTAAATCATCAATTTATCTATCACACTTTTAGTTCACCAGTAGCATTGACAAAGCTAAGTGCTACAATTCCATTTGAAATTACCCTTAAAAAGTACAGACCTTTAAAACTTACTACACTCACTCTGGGGGAGAAATAAATACGAATTTTTAACAAATAAAATACATCATTTTACCTTGCCTCTTTGGAAATAGTATTTTCATCTTTCAAGTTGTACTGACAAAATGTATCTTACAGTCAGTGAAAACCTGAAACTCAAATAAGCGGACAAGCCTTTAAAAGGTAACAAACTCAGGGAGAGGCAGTGCTGACTCCAACACAGACCTTTCTAAGTGTCACAGCAGGCCATTCCATCCCTCGGGACACCCATCCTGTTCAGTAAAGTACTCAGTGACCACCTAGGAGGCACTGGCACTGCTCTTTGTCCTCCTGTGGGCCTTAAGTGCATTTTAATATTCAGGTTCTTGCACATCCTCTCTGGGGTGGGTTTTCCTTGTCCTTTGGGACAGTTTTTCTCTCTTCACAAGTCTGAGACAATCTAGAGAGCAGAAATCATTTCTGCCTTTTCCTCTCAATATCAGCATCCAATTGACAAACCAACAATGTGTCTCCGAGGAATAAAAACTCGGGCTGGAGGAATAATTGTAATGACCTTTCATGACATTACATTGTATTGTCCATTAATTTTAATGTCCTAAAATTTTAACGACCCTAAAGGGTCACCATTTTAGATGAAACTATACCAAGAGATTCCTCTAAGGCCAAGAGCATCCAGCTGCTCCCCTGAGAGACTCTACCCCCTACCTCAGGCTGTCCTTGGGGATGAGGTGACCCCGGGACTGATACTCACTAGACCCTCCAATAGACATGGCCACTGTGGGTATCCTGGGTCATATGTACACTTAGGAAAGATGAAAAGAAGAGAGACACAAAGATTTTTTTACAGTAGAGTGTCAGATTATTTATTCTCTACTTTCCTCTCATGTAAAATGTTTGGAAACAGAAAAATATTTTGGCCAAGGTGGCTCATGCCTGTAATCCCAGTGCTTTAGGAGGCCGAAGCGGGCGATCAATTCAGGTCAGGAGTTCTAAACCAACCTAGCCAACATGGGGAAACCCTGTGTCTACTAAACATACAAAAATTAGCTGGACGTGGTGGTGGCGCCTGTAAGCCCAGCTACTTGGGAGACTGAGGCAGGAGAATCGCTTGAACCCGGGAGGCAGAGGTTGCTGTGAGCTGACACTGCATCATTGCACTCCAGCCTGGCGACAGGGCGAGACTCCGTCTCAAAAAAAAATATATATATATATATATATGCGCATATGTGTGTATATATATGCATATATGTATATATATGTATATATGTGTATATATATGTGTGTGTATATATGTATGGTTTGCTTCCTCATTTACCTTATCAAAGCCTCTCATTTACGCCCCTCTCGTGGACCCCAAACCACAAACCATGACTGCGGTACCCGTTTATGAATCGCGTTTGCTCAAACACGCCGTTTAACGTTTTAACAAAGCCTCAGGTTAATTTTAGGGGGAGAAAGGTGGGACTGGAAGCTCCATGAACCACAGCTCCTCCCACGCTGGAACCCCGCACACCGAGCCGGGCTCTCCCGGATCACCCTCCCGTGGTCACCGCACTACCTGGGTGGGGGAGGCGCAGGGTTCCCTAGAGGGTTCCCGCCGGCGGAAGCGGCGCCCACAGGTACAGACAGGACGCAGGGGTCCCGCTGCCCGCGCCGCCCGGCCCTGCACAGAAGCGGACTGAGGCCCGGCTGCGCCGCCGCGACTCGATCCGCAGGTTCCGCAGCCGATGGCTGGTCCCAGCAGGTTTCACCCAGCCCTCTTCCCCACTTCGGGAAGCCAGGCGCAGTCCACTCACCGTTCCTCGGCTCCCCGGGTGTCCCGGCGTCAGCTAGGGATGTCCCAATACCCGCAGGTCACAGGGTGGCCGAGGCTGCTGCAGAGCCACCGGGCCTCCCAGAGCCAGGAAGCAGCAGCGGAGACTCACAGAAAGAGCCTACGGTGGCCAAGGCGAGACAAAGCGCCCGCCAGCCGGGTCCCGGAAGCCGCCCTCTCCTTTCCGGCGGCGCGCCAGATTAAACGGTCCCCA